GTACTGGCAGGAGTGCACGTTTATACGATACTCAAGGAGTACATATATAAGTACCAGTGGCGCGCAGCGGACCCGTTTTGATGATGTAGTATGACAGGGCTGTCATTGTTTCTCACGACCTTCTCCATAAGTAGATATGAGGGGGAGTAATGCAAAACAATTCACTCACAATTGCGTTCCAATCCTCTCCAAAAGCAAAATACCCCGTTGACGTTTCTTCAGCTGAGTGACGTCTCGACGAATCATGAACGAAACACTACCAGCGAAAGTAAGTTCCCGAGTATCCATGAGAATACTTCGGACTCTTGACTGAAGCAGCTCTGCAATTCGCAGCCTGGCCTTGTGTCTCCAGAATTGCAAGGGCAACTGTCACAGATGAAGAAGGAAAGATGGGTCGACCTGCAAGGACTCGTCGACTGCGCAACCGCTCATCTCGCCATATCAGCACTCCCTGGTCTTAGCTGCACCTCCATTTCTCTTCTCGGCCGGGGAACCTACAACACGGTCTACAAACTAGAATTCAGCGATGGGACCCGATTAGCTGCTAGCGTCTCTAATCTTCACGAAGAAGACTTCGATCCTAAGGCAAAGCACTCCGAGATCGAAACCATGAAGTTCGTGCGTGAATCTGGTCTCTATCCAGATATTCCCGTTCCGAAGATTTTTGCTTGGGATACTACCTTCACCAATTCCGCATGTGCACCTTATGTTCTGATGGAGCATTTCTCCGGACGAGCGTTGACGGATGACCTGAATGACCTCTCTCAACCACAACAGATGTCCTATACTAAATTGCTCGCAAGATTACAGGCATCGCTTTCCAAGCCCATTCCATTTGATCAAATAGGAAGTATCACAGGTGGTGACGGACAACACGCTGTCGGCCCGCTCATGACATTAACACAAAGATGTTTAGGCGGTCCGTACAAGTCCATAGGGGACCTATGGCGAGCTCAGGTAGAAGGACAGATGCTCCACGCCCTTGAAAAGTGGTGCAGCGTTGAAACGGACTTTCTGAATCCGGATCTCGAGCCGCAATGCACCCCACAGCTGTTTGCTGAACTTTCCCAGCTTTTGTCCTCGCTTATCCCACACTTTCAACCACCAAAGTCTTACTCGCCCCTAGTCCTGCACCATCCTGATATTGTGCTCCGAAATATCCTCTTCGACGAATCGTCGATCTCTTCGGGCGATTTGAAAATAGCAGCTTTGATTGACTGGGGCGGCGCACAGATCCTCCCCCTAATGTTCACCGCCAAATACCCAGACGATCTCCGGACTACTGGCAATTATCCTTTTAAGAAACCTGGATGGGACGAAAGCGAAGAATGGGACACTGTACCCTGTGACTGGACCTCCACTGGAGATCCTTCTCAGTGGCCTAGGGTCTTCGTCGTAGGACACGAACTCGTAGACTTCTCACCACGCGTACGTGCAGTCATAAGCAAGTTCTACCTTCGCACGTACTTTAGCGCGTGTTATGCGGAGCAGTTGCATGCATTATATGGAGATGCAAATTTGGCGTGCGCGACCTTGTTTAGGGATGCGACGTATTATATGAAGTTTCATGAGGTGCTGTGTGGCCAATATTTTGACCCAATTTTCTACGGCCTATCTGTTACAGTAGATACACTCTAAGTATATAATTGTACATTGACTTCAGTATAATAAACTCCTCCCTCCTCCTTGGACAAATCCATGGATATGGCCTTGCCATCAACTTAAGGGATGATTTTAAAAGGAGCTCACATTGATTCAAGCCATTCACGATGCTTACTCCAGCGCTGAGTAGCAGAAGATTGAATTACCCCTCTTGTTAAACGGCTCTCTTACTCGCGACAAAACTTTTCAAAAGCAAATCAGGATCAGAATGAAGGGAGCTTAATACAGCCGTTCACGAGCAAGGAGACCACGTTCTAACCAAAATACCTTCTATGCTGGGCTCCACTCGAAGTTCTTACAACCCTTTTCCAGTTTCTTCTTTTCTCACGGAGGGAACGAAGAAAATATATCTTATGCTTTGGACTATGGATTGGATGTCAAGCAGCTCAACCGCCTCCCATATGGCAGTCAATGGTGCCAATTTGGATGGCATCGTGACCCTTGTTGAAAGAGGCCACATGTACAACTCGCAGAAAGGGCTTCATCTGGCACTGGAATGGGGGGATGGAATACCTTTTGGACAAAGGTGCCGACGGACCTCTCATTGCACTTCACGTCACAGCGAACACCAAAGCACAGGAGCCGCATCCAGTCAGACCGTCAGTCGAACCAAATCCAGCTGTCCTAGGTGTATCGGATACTGGAATACCTTTATTACTTGCTAGTGTTAATCTCAATCGCCATCGATAACGTCGTGCTCACATGAGAACTGTGAGTAATGAGAATTCAAATGTGTTCTGAGCAGATTCACCCTTCTCTAATTTTGGCTATAATTCCGAACAAGAGACACCAGAAGGCGGCGGGGTAACTTCTAACAACGCCCTCACCATGCAGCCTTGATCAAATCAGACGCTCTCTCCGCTACGACATATGTAGGAACCTGAGTGTGCGCAGCGGGAACTAACGGCTGTAATCATCACATAATCAGTCTTTCTCCACAACCCAGACACAGGCAAACCCAACTCACAATAACCGACGAATCAACAACCCGAAGACCCACCACTTTCTTAACTCTCAAATCCGGATCTACGACACCGTAACTTGCATCCTTGGCCGACATCGACGCCGTCCCGACTATATGCGAGACGGTGATCGCTGAGCTCCGAATGAAAGTGTCCAATTCGTCGTCAGTGACGGCCGTATCAACGAGGTTGATGACATAGTCTGAGAAAGCGGGCGCTTGGGCGAATCGGCGGGAGGCGCGGATGGCTTCGCGCATGGCGAAGATATCGAAGGGGGAGTCGAGGAGGTTGGGGTTGACGACTGGAGGGTCGAAGGGGTCACTGGAGTTGATGAGAACACTGCCGCCTGTGAATAAGATTTAGTTGATCGCGCATTGCAACATTGGATACGGACGTACGTGAAAGAGGCGTTACAATCGCTGTGCCGATGACCATGAAGTTCCCTGTAGGCGGTATAGGCAGGCGGGTCACGCCGTTCTGTAAAGGCGATCAATGAGCGGAAAGCGAAGAAAAAGAAATACATACAGCGATGATGAATTCATAATGTGCGCCATGTGGTCCCGCCGATGGATCCTTAAACTCCTTGAATATCGTCGAGTTATCCGGAAGACGCAGCCATCCTGCAGCATTGAACGTGCCGGCAGCATACGGCCCCATATGTGTCGCATTCCACTCCTTAGTTTGCTCTTCCATCAAAGTTGCGTTTCGCAGGGCCGTCTCGAATGTGTCCGTAGAGTTGACAAGCCAAGTGTTCGCCACAAACGGGTGGTCCGTCATGTTTTGCCCTACAGATGGAAGATTCACGAGTGGTTCGACACCGACTTCGGAGAGATGTGCCGAGTCCCCGATGCCAGAATTTTGGAGGATGTGTGGGGTGCCGATAGCACCTCCGGATAGAATTACTTCTTTCTTGGCAGTAATTCTCGTACGTGGTCCAGCTAATTGCAAGAGGTTAAGTCACGTTCGACCTAGTGCGCCTGGGCTCACCTCCATGACTACTATCATCTGCGAATTCTACACCCGTGAAGACGGGTGAACCCTTGGCAGTGCCAGTTTGGAATACACGGGTCACACGGGAATGCGTCAATACATGCAAATTTGTTCGTTGTGCGAATTCCGGTGCAAGATAGGATGTGGCCGAACTGCTTCGTACTCCAGCCTTGATGGTAGATTGGGTCCAACCTGCATTCAACGGCGTGAACTGACGGCTGAAACTTGAACAGGAGGAACGAACCGATGCCAATTTCAGTCCCAGAATTCATATCCAAATTGAAAGGAAATTCCGGGAGCTCGGACGCCGCCTGAATGACCCTGTGATCAAAGGAATATACAAATCCGGGAAGGCTGACAGCGTTGATGCCATGGAAGCCATGAACGGATGGGTCAAATTCTCCTGTAGTGTTGTGGTGGTCGGCGGGTGCAGTCCATTTTTCGTTCTTCAGGTCACGTTGAGAAATGAGAAGATGATCACGTTCAAGAAAGACGTACTTTACGGAGATACGGCTGGATCTCGTTCCATGACCACCCACTATCCTTGGTCAACTCTGCATACCGATCGTAATCGTCGGAAGAACCACGCGTATACGCAAGACCGTCTTGGAAAGAAAGATGTTAGACGCACAACTCCAAGTAGATGGACGTGACATACGCATGGAACTGGTTCCACCAAGAATGTGGCCCTGCGGATAGCCCATGGATCGCCCACCTAGGCCCGTCATAGGTGTAGTAGTATAGTTCCAGTCCGCAGGCGTGTTAAAAAGGCGGCTGTTGAAGAAGGGCACTTCTGAATTGAAAACGCCGACATTGCTTCATGAAGTTATAATATATGAGCACGTAAGATAAAGCATTGATCTATTGAACAGACTTACGTTCCGCCGGCTTCGATAACTAGCACAGAGTGACTAGGATTTTCAGTTAATCGATTTGCAACGACGAGACCAGCAGTTCCGCCTAGCGTTTCGCTACCTCAGTGACTGCATATACAGATAAGTAGACGAAACACATTACCTCCAATAATCACAAAGTCAAAATCAGTATTGGGAAGGTCCTCGAACCGCGCTACGATCGCTGCCAACGAAGACTTGGCCAACACAGCAAGAAGAAATATCTGTTTGAGAGCAGCGGAGAAAACCATAGAGGATGAAGTAGTGTGTTAGGCTTGGGGGCCCTGCATTATAGTGGCTGCATTCGAAGCATCGAGTACATAGGCTTGTTCCCAGCTTGTCCCGTTCCCATGCTTCGCGAAGTACAATAAATGGCACATGATGCTAGCCGGAGTAACTTGGGAAAGGGCCCGCGTCTTAACGGCGGTCCGTGCTTTCCAAGAGAGTCCAAAAGGTAACTGAACGTGTAGCTCCCAAGAACGTCTAGTTACAATCCGGTATGGTGTAACGGCTAACATTGCCGCCTTTCATCGATAATTGATTCGCGGCAGCTCGGGGTTCGATTCCCCGTACCGGAAGTTTTGTTCCTTTCCTTCAAAAAAGAAAAGGCGGATAAAGCTCTAGTCAACAGAACTCAAGAAATAAGAAGACATCGGATATGGTGTAACGGCTAACATTGCCGCCTCTCATCTTATATGTACCTAAAACTATGATTCGCGGCAGCTCGGGGTTCGATTCCCCGTATCCGAACTTTCCTCAGCACTTTCCATCGTTTTTGCTTTATCTCAAAAACGCAGAACTCAAGGTACACCAAGCCTCGATGTATTTCTTTACATACACAAGATCTAGAAACACAATACATCTAATGAAAAGTAAAAGAGGAGAGAGCGAGAGAAATTTTCATAAAATAGGAACGTTAACACGAGTCACAGTCTATTACAACACGTACGATACTAACGGTCAAGGTCGAGAAACACGTAACACTACTTCAGATGGGTGGAGGACGGGAAAAACTTTGCGCTGA